AAAAAGATGGGGAATCCAATGTTAGGCAGTAAGCACTACAATAAAAGAGGCAAGAGTACCCCCATCAATCATCAATTATCAAATGACATAATCGGACCGACCAATTGCGGACATGCCATTGGATACTTACCGCTCATTCACCAAACACGCACTTTCAACGGAGCTGTGCATCAGCATCACTAGATGCGTGTCAAGTATGATGGTCTGCAACAATCCTGGCATGGTACGAAACAGTAAACACAAGGTTGCCCTTAGATGCACGAAAGCCACTTGTATCCGACCATATTCAAGTATTTCTCAATCCTGCACCCTCATATAACACAGGACGAGTTCTGCCACAAGTAAACTTCACGCGCAACTAAACGATGCAAATTTCAAATCAATGTCGAAACAAACAAACAAACAAAAATAATTCAAAATATCTGTGGAGAGAACAACTGAACTAACATTTAAGAATCCAAAATGTGTTTCAAATTCCATCCAGAAATAAAATCAAAACAAAATCCTAGGGATCATGGGCTTTTTCGACAAGTAGACCACTGGAAGTCGTACAAAAGAAGCCTGACAAAACACAAATCTTGAGCTAAATAATCTCATAATACATTTCCACGATTCCTTGCAGCAAGCTGTATCACAAAAACTACTCTCAAAGCATGGTCAAAAATTAATACATAATTTATCTTAGCTCTTGGCAGCTAGCTTTTCCTTCGCCTTTTGAATCTTCAAAACCTTCTTAACAATCTTTTGTTCTTCCACTAGGAAAGCCCTGATGATCCTATAACATCACATCAGGATGAATCAAGATACCAGAGCAATACCGATCACCGGTCAACATAAAAACAGGAGAGTTTTATAGGGCTACCAACCTTTCCCTCACAGCACTACCGGACAAAACCCCACCATAAGCACGGTTCACAGTCCTCCGGTTTCTGGCTAGTCTAGACCTCTTGTATTCAGCAGGTCTGAGATGCGGAATCTGCAAATTTCAAAACCATTTAAAACCATGGACATTTAAGATGATAATGCTTCATGCTGTACATCAACATCTAATACAGTGATTCATTTTAAAAATGCTTAGAGATGATCACCATATACATGATATTGAAAAGCGTCAACTTCTGATTCAATAAGAGGACCAAAAAAAATCATTAGCATCTTGATTGGCTAATACAAACACCCTCGCCCCATCAAGTTTTACTAGTAGTCCAAAATCAGTTGAGAACACCTCTAGAAAATACACGTAACAGCTCTTATTCTTGGAAAAATTCATCACTGATAGCCCCCTCTTATTGATCTCTCTTTAACACAACTGACAAATGATATTCATGTACTTCTCAACTCTGTATTAGCATTCTTACAGTATTGTGGCCCAATAAATTCAACTATATAATAAAAAAAGTACTGTAAAGGTGAAATGACAAGAAAGGATTTAGAACTCTAATAGCAGCCGCAAATATGATAGAAATCAGAGATCCATATACACGTTTCACTTCCAACCATGAATAAATTTCACTTCATCATTTCATTTGTGTTCAAGTCGGTTATTTTTCCAATTCAGCTGCTTCCCCCCCCCAAAAAAAACACGTATGTGGGTTCCCTCACTAATGATTTTAGTTAGCCAGAGGTGAAAAACCACTCAGGAGATCCCTATAAGAATTACAATCACGAACGCAACAAACATTTCATCATCTTTTCCACAGGTGACCACAGACACTCTTGGTGAATTTCACTCTAAAATCTATAATTTGGTGGCACAAAGCCTCCAAAATAATCACATGCTCTATCAAGACTCATGAAGCTTTATTAACTTCATATGATGACGCAAAATAACATGTCAACCGTCATTGTCCCAGATAACAATCTATCCTCTACAAACCTCCAACATATAACCCATAATGCAACATCTAATCACACAACATGAAAGCTTAAAGCACCCAACTAAACTAAATGCAGCAAATAAAACTTGATGTTGCATGCCCCAGACCCCATTGCTAACACCTCAACCACCGAAAAATCACAGAAAATCCATATATCATTAACCCCAAAATCACTAATCTAATCAACCATAAAAATAAAGTAAAAATCCCACGCAAGTAAAATCATTAGAGCATCGAAAAAGAAGTCAGATTTACATGTTAAACCCACAAGCAAGATTAATGAGGAAACAGAATTAGAAGATAGAGCATACCCCTTGGATCCTCTTGCCAGTAACAGGGCATTTGGGTCCACTAGCCCTCTTCTTCGTAGTCTGATAAACTAACTTGCCACCTATTTTTCATCCATAAAGACCAAAACCCATCAATTTTATAGCGCCAAAACATCAAATAGCAAATCACGTAAAAACCATAACAGACTTCACATGAACAAAATAATCAAACAGGTTCGGGGCATAAACAAAGGTAATGTGGGCTATCAAGAAATGAGGAGATTTACCAGGGGTTTTGACGACCCGGTGTTGGTTGGACTTGGTGGCATAGCTATGCCGCTTGCGATAAGTGAGCCGCTGCGCCATTTCTGCGCCCCCTCGGGTGTGTGTTTGAGGGTGTACTCTCTGTTCTTGCAAAGGAGAAGCTGAAGGAGTAGGGTTTGGGGAGACGGAGAGAGAAAGGTTTATAAAAGGTAGCCAAAAGAGCGTCGCCCTAGATCTGACGGCTGAGATTGGATTAAGCTTTGGGCTTTTTCATCTTTTCATGTAAGACATTGGGCTGCTTCTAAACGAAAAGAGTTGGGCTCCTTTGGCTGGGGAGGCCGTTGCAGAATTTTCAATTTCTACCCTTGAGTTTGGCTAATTACCATAAGACGATCTAAGATTCACAAATTATGCCGAGAGAGAAGAGTAGGGCCTCCTCCTCGGGCCGGAGTGAGATTAGTCAGGCCGAAGGCCCGGATACTCACTCCGTCAGAAAAAAAAAAAAAAAAAAAAGAGAAGAGTACTGAGTACCTTGTAGGCACAAGTCTCCTCCTAATGTTGTGTGCCTAAAAAGGCAATTGTGAAAATTAGGAGGAGGGACATCTTGAAAGTTAAGTTAATGCTACCATTTTTACTCTTATTGGTAGCACTGTCCTTAAAATAAATCACCCCTTTTTAAATTAACATGGACTTTCTTGGAATTTGCAATTTAGTTTAGTATTAATCATAAAAATAAAAAAAGACCTCCCTCTTTAAATTTTGAAAAACATAATCACTCTCGCAAAAAACCAATATGGAAAAAGATAATAAAAGTAAATAATAACCCTTTATTAAACATAGACTTCTAGCATCTTTTTCAAGTTATTTTATTCTTAATTTTCATATCTGTTTTTAGTTGCATTAAACTTAGGGAAACATTTTTTTTTTGGTTTGAAGTTTAGGAAAATGTTATTTACACTCCATTTTTTATTATTTGCACTTCCACCATTTGTTTTATCATATAGTATAATAAATAAAAACTATATAATTAAAATGATAGTGGGAGTGTAATTAATAAAAATGAGAGCGCAAATAACATTTTCCTAAACTTAAGTATTCTTTTCAATGTACCATCCAAAATTTTCTTATCGAAGCAAAAGAGCATATTTTTCAAAGGAGGTAAGCATGAATTAAGCACTTGATTTGTCAATGGTAAGACATTTTGGTTTGTCAATAGTAAGACATAACTTAATGTTATTTTCATATTATTTTGTGAATCTAGCTGCTAGGTCACAGATTGTGCCCCCAATAAAAAAAATTAAATAAATGCTAGGTCACAGGTAGAGGTGGCAAAATGGGTGATTTGGGCGGGTTTGGGTTGGGTAAAATGGATGATGGGTATAAATGAGTCAACCCATTTATATCCATTTAATTAGATGGGTATAAATGGGTAAGTCAAAAAATGAGTTGGGTAACTCAATTATCCATTTATAACCCATTTATTCTAATTTTTTACAAGCTCATATAAATTCATTTTGTAAACTAAATTATCAATTTATATCATTTTACACCCATCATTAATTTTAAATATTTACTTATTATGCCAAATAAGTCTAATTAACAATTTTTTTTCCTTCCGTGTGCCATGTTGCAAAATTACATATTATTTAATAATTGAACAATAAGAATCTAAAAATTTGGACTAAATAATATGAAAGTTAACAAAAAAATTTAATCCAAAACTTTGAACCCCTAGTATTTTTTCGTTTATAAATTTAAAATTTCATTTGAAAAGGTAAGAAAGGAAGCTAAAATTTGTCATAAATTGATGATGCTAAAAAATGATCAAATTAATAAATTACAAGGAAATAAAGCGATAAGATAAAACCAACAAATAAATATAATAAATAAAACAAAAATACTTAACATAAAAAATAGTTAAAAATCCTTATGAAGACTAGCAATCACTTCATTTAGCATACAAATATCAACCTGAAGTCAATATATGTAAATTACTCAACAGTACTATGAGTAATCACAGGTAGGTTGGATTATACAAGATATACAAGAAACTGAAAATGTAAATATGATAAAGTCAAAAGAAACTCTTTAAGAAAAAATTGTCAAGAGCACGACTACTCGTGTGATTTCTCCTCTTTTCCCATGAAAGTTAAGTTACAGAATGCATCTGTGCTAGCCATTGTGCTATTGGGCTTGATTTGCTTGCTTCTACTTTGCTGCAAACTTACTACGTGAAGCAGGTACCGAATAGTGCCAAAAAAAACTGCAGCCAGAATGGTTTTCATTGCCACAGGACAGCGAGATGCACAAGAGAAGTTGACTCTCAGGGCCTGGTCTCTGCAAAATCCAAATGCAGACGGTGGTACTATTAGAGCAAAATATTTGCCATAAGTTTCTATACCATGCCTGCTCATGTGTTCTCTTGATAAACTGAACTCAGTATTATTCTTCAAACCTTTGCGCAGCAACTCAATATGACTAGAATTCTGATTAGAAGACGGGATGAAGTAAGCAGCTTGAAGGAGTGCCAGTGACAATACAAATATCCACTTGACAGTAAAAAGATAGCAACCTAAAAGTTTGCTGCTGGCTGAACACAAAATAGAGAAGATTCCTGGCAATCAAAACCAAAACCAAAACCAAATTCAAAGTTCTGTTTTTTGCTACTTAAATTTCATCTAGACAGAAAGATAAAATTCTTTTCACCACATTACTAACAATCTCCATGATCATGAGAATACAGCTTACCTAAATATGAAGGTTAGTAAGTTTAGCAACTAAAGGTGCAAAGTCAATACTCAGTCTTTCTTTATCTTCACCATCTTCAGAAGCTGAAATCAAAAGTAAATTCAATAAGTGACCAAAAAAGTAAAATACAAGATCATGTGCATTGAAAGGTTAAGTATAACATACCTGTTACTCCATATAACCAGTCCCTAGTACATAACAAGACCTCCACATTTTCTGGTAGGAGCGAAATACGATATTTACCCACAATTCTTCCACCAATACTGAAAGCTGATTCCAAGGCCACTGTAGTGATAGGAATACTTAAAATATCCCGTGCCATCAAAGAAAGAATAGGGTATCGATTTTTGTTTTCTTTCCAAAAATTGAGAACATCCAATTCTTGAGTTGAAAGGAGTCGAGTATCATCCAAATAAGAGTCTACTTGTGACTTATTCCTCTTGTTTGCATGTTGTTGACTCTCAAATTCAGCAAAATCATCATTGTCATTGCCCAAATCACCACCAGAGCAGCCTGCTATTGATCCATCTAGCAAATCACCATCAAAAGTATTCTCGTACTCCTCAAATAGTAAATAAAATTTATCCCAAACTTCATTAGCACGTTCTTCATAATCAAAAGGATATAGCTTCTTAAAAGCATACACCACATAATCCATTTTAAAACGCGGATCCAAAATGATGGCAAAACTCAAAACCAAGCTATAACATTCCCAATACTTCTCAAATTTCCGTTTCATTTTCTTGCCCATTTCACTCACTTCAATGTCTAAATTATTGACCTCTTCCGTGATAACTTTTTGAATTTTCCAGACACCATGAAAATACAAATTTGCAGTTGGATAATTAGTCCCTGAAAAAAGGGTGGTCAGGTCATAAAAAGGTCTCAACAGTGTTGTAAATTTCTGCACCTTAAGCCATTCTTCTTCAGTTGGGTAAAATCTACTGAAGTTGCGATCAACCACGTGCAACTGATGAAAGGCAAGCTTATATTCAAGTGCACTATCCAGCATCACAAATGTAGAGTTCCATCTGGTTGGGACATCTTGATGCACCCTCTTATTGCATGGCAAAGAAACTTGAACAATACACTCTGCAAATTTCAACTTTCTTGATTCACTAGCTCTGATATATTTTACACACTCTCGGATCTTTGAGACTGGTTTGGAAATAACTTTGACACCATCTTGGACAATCAAATTTAGCACATGTGCACTGCATCTTACATGAAAAAATTCACCCTCACAAAATAGTGTATTTCTTAGCCTCAAATGCTGCTTCAACAGATTCACCATACCATCATTGTAAGATGCGTTATCCAATGTGATAGTAAAAACTTTTTTTTCAACAGCCCAATCTCTCAATAAATCTATGACTTTTTCAGCTAATATTGGACCACCATGTGGTGGTGGCATGTGGTGAAAATTTAGAACCCTCTTTTATAAAATCCAATCTTCATCCACGAAATGAGCCGTCAATGTCAAATACCCATCTGTTGCAATAGATGTCCACAAGTCTGCAGTAAGGCAAATTCGACTTGAAATTGAATTTAATTCTGTCTTTACTCTCTCTTTTTCTCTTTTGTACATCTTTTCAATATCAGCTTTTATCATGTTTCTCGAAATGGGTAAAGCATCTGAATTTAAGTATATACACAAGTCTCGAATTCCTTCTTGCTCCACCAGTCTATAAGGATGGTTATGCTTCACAATAGCAATTCCCATCTTTTCCCGATAAATTCCTTGGTCAATTGGAGACCGTTTTTCAAAATCAGATTGTCCACGCTTATTACAATTTGAAAGATGACGCCATAAGTTGCTTGTTCCGGTTGTTTCACCGCATGCATAATCACGCTTGCACCATTTACATTGTGCTCTTTGTGAGCCATCTGGCTCAACACATAATATTTCAAATTCCCTTCCAAATCAATGACGTGAGCTGTCTCGAACGCTTAGAAGAACCTTGGATCAACTCATCTGTATTGGTAGGTTCATGGCTTGTATAAGAACATTGTTCCTGAATGTGCTCTGACAACTCATCTATTGGATCATGATGGGATAGCATTTCTGTTATCTATACTACCAACTTTGTACACCTTATCTGATATTTTTCTGTCTAAGACTCTCAGCCTTCCAATTTTGTACACCTCATCTAATATTTCTGCAACATTGATCCCAAGAACTACATGTTTTCACTAGTCTTCAACTGAGATTGGAAGTATTAAGTGTAGTTGTGGAAAAACTTTTTATCATATGGCCCCGCCAACATGATGAGCAAAAATAACAGAGCTAGGACTTATATATTATATCACGTATGCATTGCAGACACAGATGAAAATAACAGGCAAATGCACCTAGGATGAAAATATTGATCACAATCACGATAGTGGTAGAACCAATACAGTGATTGTTTGTGCTAGACAAGCACACTTAACAATTATTGCCTTCTTTTTTTTACCAAGTATTGTCAATTTGGTCCAGCCATAAGTCTACAGAGCTTTCTACTAAATAAGATCTCATGCAATCTGCAAACAAAGGTAAGCGAAACAATCATTTAACCAGTCCAAGATGTCTAAAAACTTAAGAATGGTAACATACTACGGTGCAATATTTTTAGATTCAGCAATCTGCAAAACTGAACTTAATTAGATAATCCTAAAATTAATTATACCATTATTAGCCTTCCAAAGTTAAGCTTAACTACTTCAAATTCTTGACTGTCAAAACCACATTCGCCAATGCTTGATCCGCATGCATGCAAATGCAACCAAGAATTCTAGCAGACATGCAATGCAACCAAGAATTCTAATTAGGCACTATTTTGAATTCTAATTCTGGAGATCCGAACGAAAGAGATAACACAAGCGAACCGTTTTTTGGCCGTTAATCAAGGCAAAATAGTTGGCTGCATCGCTTGTGTGTCACCATTCATTCCGTCTGCAGGATAATAACCATTGGAATGTCTCTGTCAGTCCCACTAGTGTCTGTCATCCTATTAGACCACTCACACCTCACGAGACAGCAAAACTACTTTTCGAACGATGCCCATATGAGCTCAGAAATCGGATATGAAAGGGGCAAAATACAAAGACGGGGAGAAGAGATGGGGGAAACAAACACTGGAGGAAGAAGGGGGGAGGGAAGCAGTGGGCTTGCTGGTGGGGAGGAGAAGAAGATTGACGGTGAAAATGGGGAATACAAAGGGTTTGGGAATGCAAGTTAAATGGGTTAGATGGGTTACCCAATTAAATCCATTTAATAAATGGGTATAATTGGGTAACCCATTTATATCCATATATAAAAATTTAATGTACCCATATCCAATTATTAATGGACGGGTATGGGTAAAATTAATTAAATGATTTTATTTGACACCTCTAGTCACAGGTACTTGACCACCATAGTCTAGCAAGAGCCCAATTAGAAAATGCTGCTACGGCCTTGATGTCCGGGCACGTTAGCCCATCCATCTGCAGCAACCACTATTTAGATTTGGGCCGTCCGTTAGTTTTCAAATGTGAGACTGAAAGTTGGAACCCATAGCTGTTGCTCTTGCACAATCTATTCTACCCAAAGGAAACAGACAAAATGCCTGAAAAACAAAATTAGAAGAATATTAGAGCAATAGTTGCGGGCTGGCATTCAATTTTGGATAAGAGATTATTTATCCAAATATATTTACTTACATTATTATTACAATTTTCAATATATTTTTTTATCTTTTTAATTTCAATTATTTTTTTATCTCACATACATCACATCACAAAAGTGCTACCGTAAAAAAATCTCAAATAATTTACAATCCAAACAATTCCAAATTATTCTTCAGGATTTGACTCAGTGGATCTAGATTTTAGAGGTTGAATATGAAATAGTACCCAATGATTCTTGTTGAAACTTCGTGTTTATTTGGAGGAGAAATCTGGTTCACTCTACATGGTAAGGGAATAATTGATTGTACGTACTTATTAGCTCGTGTAATCACCAGAATAGAGAATAATTAATGTCCTAACCTCAAGTTTAGGCTGGCAGATTACACAAGTCCGCCAGCAATCTATTCTCCACCTCTTACTTTACCCCTTCCAAAACTGAAGTAAAGAGGGCAATTCCTACACTGTGACTCTAATCTTTACAAAGTGAAGATACGTACTAGTTTCGAAAAGAAGCTGGAATTTTAGCATGGAAAGAGTAGAAAAGCCGGCTCAACGCAAATCTTCCTGTTAACAATATTGATGTTATCTAGTTTCTTCTGGCACCAGATCAGATGATCAGTTGTCAATCTTGGTAAGCTTAATACTCTCGATACCAATTTCAGTTCCACCTGAGAGATCAGCAATGCATTACTTGTTTGGCCTGCCTGCTGTTTTTGGAACCTCTTCACTATGCAATTTACACTTCTCTGTATGTCTTTGAGCTTCCTCTCCTTCTGTCAGGGAAGGAAAATGAAAGCATTATAAGCTGAGAAAGGCGAAAATGAAAGATGGAAAGAAGGGAAATGAAGATTCAATGAACACAACCAAGACAAACCTTCTCAAGACGAGTCCTAACGTTCGTAAGAAGCTCAGAATCGACAGCAGCCCGAGGATCAGCTAGACTTCCTTGAACACTCTTCAGTATTCCATCAGCTTCCTCCTTGTCAGCACGAAGAAATTCCCAGAAGATGTGCATCGATTCCTTCAGGGTTTGTGCCAACATGGAAATTGATATTGCATCTATTTCATCTCCTGTAGTTTCCTTCTTGTCCTTGAAACAATCATCTGAAGACCAGTTAAAAAGTCATTCAGATCCCAGTGAATGTTAGAATAACTCAATCGAGTAGTGATTTTGTCAAGTCTGTTAACCTTTGATGATTGGAACTTGAAGAAGACAACGGCAGGCGCATCTGCTTTTAACAAAGTGTTGAATTCTAGGTCCATTAAATCGCTCATCCTCCAAAAATCTTTGCACAAGCACTTGAAACTGTTGGTATTCTCCTGCCACTTGATTATAGCAGTGATTACCTTGAGAATCATATTCTAGCAACTCCTTTACTTTTCCATGTTGCCACTGCAAAATCTCCCATGAAAGGCAAATGTGTCCAACATAGACCAACTCAAGGTCTCTATGCATTTCAGTGATGGATTTAAGGGTGGGATCAGCATAGATCCTACGTTGTTTTGACATCGAAATGCTCGGTAAAGAAAAGGGCTTGATGGATGAAAGTAAAGATCTTTTACTTGGGATGAAAAGTTGAGAATCCTTGTGCTGAAGGAAACCTGCAACAATCGTGAAACCAGCGGATATACTGAAAAGTACTTCAAAGAAGGAAACAAGTCCAAAAGGTTGAGCAGACGGCAATGTTCATGCCAAGATATATAATTCTAGTCAAACAAGAATAATTTACGATCAACCTAATAGAGTGACTCTGAAAACAATTGAGGAATGATTGAATATATCTTCCAATGTGCAGGCTGACAAATCACAGCTACTGCAGCAATAGAGGCATTCGCATTATTATAATCATATGATTCTTGAAACTTGGTGGTATAGAAAAGATGGGTTATATGACATTAAAGACTAATCAATTGAATAATTTGTGGTGTAGAGAGCAAAGGGAGCTTTGCATAATGAAGTGGGATCTTGGTGCTGTACGCATGGACTACGCAAATTGGAGGCCCACCAAGTCAATTCGTCCTTTCTTGATGATCTTGTTCAAAAAAGATCTTCACAACAATCAGATTGGATGGGACAGCATTTAGCGTTGTGGACTGTAATACAATTTAGTCCAGGACAAACTATACAAAAATCTTTTCAACTCCATTTAAGAAGGCAAGGCATGAAATCATAATGCTTGAGCACGTTGAGCGTGCCCTTTTTGATGAATTTATTATCAACCTACTCTGATTACGATATGCATTTGAAGTTGTGTATACTAGAAACTAGTATAATAAATTTGAATCTTCTCATCAAGATTTTGACCGGCAAAACTATTTTATGAAATAATTGAACTAAAAAAAATACCAATACTTAAATCACAAGGAAAGAAGGGAATGTTTAGTTTAAGTTTAAACTTACTGATTGCATGCAAGGTCTGATAATTCAAGATGTCCAATTTTCGCGTTTTTTCTGCATAACTCTTGTAGAATTTCTGGATTTCTTCCATGAGATCTTTGTACTCGAACTTTTCATCAATTTTTAGTGGTTTCAGATAATCTAAAACCTTTGGAGTCTCGCAATCTTCATTTTCTGAAATAGTAGGAAGCCCCCTAGCCATCGAATTCTTTCTTTCCATTTTCATTTGTTTAACTAGTTGCTGGTGTTCCAATAGGATATCAAACTCATCTTCATCATCAGAGTTTGATTCCCATGATTCCTTTCCCAAGCTCTCTTCTTGGAAATTTTGTGGACGGTCATCCATCAATTGTGTTTCTTTACCTCCAGCATGTGCAAGTTCAAACAAGCTTTCATCTTTCCGGGACAAAATAGTTTCATCAGCCTTATTTGCATCCTTTGAACGAGGCTCCAATTCTATGTAATCATCCTCAATGTCGTCATCTGCTTCCCCAACAGTGCATAAGTTACCATTTATGACCTCTTTCCCACTTGAGCATCTTTCACTTATTTCTGGATTTCTGTCAGT